GGTAAAATCAATACATATGTATAAAAATGTATAAATGTATAAAAATAATAATAGATTGGTAGTAATAATATTCTGAGTTAGTATAAGACAAATTAGTGTTCGTTTATGTAAATCACTGAAAAAATTATATATAAGATAATTATAATGTTATATTTCATAAAATAACTAGTTCTGACTGATTTATAATCTTCTAGTTATTTCAATAGTAATTCAATCGGACAATATAAATTATTTAAATTATAAAGTATAATTAATATACAATAATACAAAGTATATTGAAGATTTTTGTCTAGTTTTACTAACTATAACGGTGATATAAATATCTTTTCTCTCAATATTCATAGTACCTATATTTGCGAACATTGTTGAATTAGTTTTAATGCTAAATTCAAATGATTCTAATTTTGAAATAATATTTTTTTCTGAAATAATGCTTTTATACTATAACTTTAATTCTGATCTGAAAATATCATACTGTAACTCAATTAAAAAAATATAAGTAATGACGTAACCATTTTATTAAAAATACCTTTAAAATAAAAAATATTTCACATAAGATAATAATTGATTAAAACTCTATTCATATCTCCCTTGATATAGATAATAAACCTGTTCATATTATAGGCATATACAGATCCCCTAATAATGATATTGATAACTTTTTAGATAGGTTAAATAAACTTAATATTTAAAATAATTATCTAAGACATTTAGATGATTATAATATATGTTATGTTATCGCTGTCGATCTGTATATAAATAAAATTGACACAAATTTATCTAATGATTATTTTAATATAATGGCAAATCATAATTTTATGTTTTGCATAAATAATTATACTCGTGTAACAAATATTACAAAATCTTGCATTGATTATATATTCACTAAAAACAGAGATAGAAATTACAAGCTCATTTATAGTAGAATGAAAAAATTATTGATCACGAAATTATAATCCAAAAAAATCATCAATTATTAAATACTAGTAATACTACCAATACACATAATATTAAGAATTGTCAGAAGAATAATAGATTAAATATAAAACTAATAAATGATACCTAACATTAATAAAGTAGATTGGTCTACCTTCTTAAATATGGATAGTATTGATGATGAGATAATATGTAGATATRAATGCTTCCTGCACAAAATAGACGAAATAATAMAACACTTTTCAAATAATACAGCAATTACATCAACAAATAAATGTAATAAACTTAAAACTTGAATAACCAAATTATTAATGATCTCAAATCAACAATAAACATAAAATGTTCAAAAAAATATATTATTAAGCCCATTTAATATTAATTTAAAAAATAAATATAGAAATYAACTTACTATTTTAATAAATAATCGTAAAGAAAAAAAATGCACAATTAAAACCTTTTAAAAAATATAAATAATATAATTCCAACAAATTTGCCAACTTACTAATGAGATTGTAGGTAGGTAAATCTATAGATAAAAATATAACTAATAATAAATGAAACCAAACAAAATTGAAAATGATCATACTCTACTAAAAGATAGTATAAATATTRCTAGTGAATTTAATAAWTATTTTATTATTGTAGGTGATTGTATTGAAAATAATATACTAAAAAGTAATTTTAAAAAAGAAAACTGGGATAAACTATAAATTCTAAATTTCCTATAAAAAATTCTTTTTTTTTAACTCCCATTACCCTTGAAGAGATATTATTCAAATATATAAAAAAAATTAAAGACCACTCTACGTTCATTGAATTATGGAATTACTACCTTTATACTTTAAAATACTGCTTATAATTTATCTGTGTCTTCGGGTATATATCCATCCGACTTTAAAAAATATATGGTTACTCCTATTCATAAACTATTGTGTAATAACTCTTATCCAATTCATGAAAAGTGTATTAAACATAGAATTATAACATTTCTAGATAATAAATCATTCATCTCTAAAAAATAAAAAACATTTGGCTTTCTTAAAAGAAAATCTACAAGAGATACTCACTTTTTTCTTAATAAACATATATACATGAGCATCTAGATCAGAATAACAAAGTTATGGATAAATTTCTAAATTTTAAAAAAGTATTTGATTTTTTAGAGAGCCATCAATTATAACTTAAGAAATTAAATTATGCTGGTATTCGAAGTATTGCAAATAATCTAATTAGTGTATATCTAAGTGATAGATATCAATCAGTAAAAATTAATGATAATCTTAGTTAATCCCTGTTAGTCAAACAATGTGTTCTACTGGGAACAGTCTTGGGTCCGATATTCTTTATTCTATATATATGGTTTACTTAATATTAATACTAAAGCAGAAATAATGTGTTTTGCTAATATCACAATTATTCTTATACATAATAAAAATATAGAAAATCTAAACACTATACAGCAACAGTATTTTTAATATGGCTAAATCATGGTTAAATAAATTACTTGAATTAAATCTAAATAAAACTAAACACATTATTTTTATCTAGGTACTATACAAAATATTGATATCCAAAASAATTTGAAAATCTGTGATCACTCCATATTATGCTTAGTAAATATTAATCTACACTGTACGTGTGTATGTACTAAAAATGTTAACTGTATAAGATAAACATGACTATATATTACATTGACTCACGTTTAAAATGGGATGATCACATAAAGCATTTATTTTTATTAATCCGTAAATTTTTCTATATTTTCCTAATCTTTGAATCTGTATGTTTTGATAAAATACAATTAAGAGTAGTATATATTTCACTGGTTCAAATATTATTACTTGTGTTGAGAATTGAGGTTGCGCTTAATATTTTTACTTAACAAAACTAAAAGTAATTATAAATAAATAAATAAAATTATATTCAAGGAATTAAATATTTTAATTTTGAAAAGCTATTTGAAAAATGTTATAATACTTATATTTAAACATAGAAATATTATACTAACAAGTAACAATAATGTAAACACCAGATTTAGGGAAAATGTAAATATAATTATGTCTAGATATCTTAGAACTTTTGATTTCAAAAGCTAGTTAAATACTGCTATTATTCTTTGTAAATATTTAAAAATCAATATTAATCTATTTAAAAATTATTATAATTCTAAGTACACCATATCTAAACTATTCTAATTCCAAATGCCCAAATCATTATATAGTAATATTATCTTATTAAATAATCAAAAACTGTTATATTTATTTTATTATTAATTCTATTATCACCTTATTTATAAATATAAATATATTTCCCCCATCCTATGTTCTAACATTGTAATTAAAATTTTCTTTTATCTATTCTGTTTGATTTTAGTCTGCTTATAGTCATAGGCGCAACTAGATCTCTAAAACGAGGGGTGCTAAATCTGTGAACACATCACAGGGCCATGGGGGGCCAAAGCCCCCAACACCCCCTATACATAGACCAACTTTAATTGATACATCAAAACTTTAAAAAATATATTTAGACTTTTTAAAAAAATWAAAAAATGAACAGCATTTATACTACTTTTTTTACTACAATATCAGAAACATATTAAAATATTTTAATTTCATAATCCTGTTAAACAAATAATAATTTATACATTTGAAATCAGTATAATTTTTCTGGGTTTCATGCAATATTTATTCAAAATAGTTTCGGTGTTTATCTGATTGATCTTTGTTGAATATTGAAAAAGATTTATTTTTCAATATTCAACAAAGATAAATAACAAATTATATTATACGACCAAACAGTTATACATTTTTTCTGGAAATTTCCTATCATTTAAAAACATTAAATTCATAATATTAGGTATATAATAATAATTACGATTGAAAACATTTTTGCACCCTCCTAGTTGCGCCACTGCTTATAGTGTGTATATAATATTAAATGTTTATAATAATTAATGATATACTAGGTACTTAAGGAACTCATCACCTTCAATACAAGCTTAGCTTATAGAAGGTGAGCAAACGATCATATATTTGTATTCAATAACCTATTGTAAATTGTTTGATTGCAAATAAATAAAAATTATATTTCACATTATAATATACAATATTATGTCTTTTTCAAGTCATAACACAGATATTTCACTATTCTTTGGGGGAAATTGATAAAATGGTTTTTTTTTATATACCTACAATAGAATAACAGTTTTAAAATTATATATTCACTAGTAGGCATGGCCGTAAGGGTGGGGGGTCCAGGAGTCCGGACCCCTCCCCCCAATTTTTTTTTTAAATTAGAAATATTTTAGCGGAGAATATTGTTTATTAACTATAAATTGTATTAAATAATAATTTTATATTTTCGTGAAAACAGTAATTTAAAATAAGATAAAATTCATTCATAACATTCAACCATTCCATAAATAAATCACTTCTAATATTAATAACACGATGGCTTATCCTATTAGATTCTGAACAAAGTAAGTAATGTATTGATTTTACAATAATAATGTATGTTTTTTTGTGTGTGTCTGTTATCACATTTTGGAATAGAAATAATTATACATTTTAATAATGCTAGATACACTGCTCTAATTATATAT